CCTTACACAAAAATCCATGGTTACACACACACAGAGCATCTCTTCAGCATCAGCCACAACTGTGGAATTAATTAGTTTGGAGTTGAGATCCCTGCAGAGAACATCCCCCTTGCCTCAGCCAGCACTGCCATCCATTAGCAGCCCTCCATCCTCACACACTCAGAGCAGCTCTTCAGACACCTTCCCCTGCCAGACCCTGTCTGAAGCAGCTCAAACTTTGCCAAGCTCCAAATATGCTGGCTGAAGCTCTCCACACCATGTGTCTGCCYGAGGCTAATGATCTTTTTGTTTATGGGGAGGAGAAAGTCAGTGTCAGGAGCTCCCAAGGAAAAAAAAAACCAAAACAAATGAAAACAAACCAACCAAACAAAACGGAACAAAACAAAGCAGGAAATGAGAAGTAGCTTGCCTCTCTCCTTCCTATGGAATTTTAAAATGAGAGCAGGAGAGAAAGCTTATCACAGCCCTGATACAAGATACACATATCACAGGCATCCTTGAGGATTTTTTTGTCCTATTCCTGCTTTTCTTAAAGAGGAAACTTAATCCCAACTYGGTATAAGATGTTTAGCGTCAAAATTCTTGTTCTCAAGAATTAGGAAGCACCAGGATAAAGATTCCCTCCACATTTTTAGTCTGTTTTCTCCTGCACATCTTTCACGTGATCTTCTATAAGGATAACATGATTTTTAGCRGGGTGTGTGCCCTCTCTTCCAGCTCACAATACATGGAACAAACTGGGTGAAATTGAATGAAACAAGACTAATTTTGTCAAGCACACGCCTGTCTTTATAATTGGGTGTCTTSCCCTTCCCACCCAATTCCAGAGAAGCAGGACCAGGATAACCTCCTTCCTGTGAGCTAGCAAGATAGGGAATCACCACAAGAGAAGGAATATTTTGTGGGATTTGAATTACATGCTGCCCTGGAGAACCAGGCCAGCTGCAGYCTGAGTACTATAGATTCAAATTAGTGTTTGGCAAAGACGGAGGATTAAAAATCCGTGGTGCCTTTGGACAATTTTGGCTTTAGTCCTTGGTGGCATTTCCCYCTCCAGCACCCACCAAAGGAGGAGGACAGCACCTCATTCCACAGCAGTGCCATGCACTGACATTTGTGCAGAATTCAATCCCTGCAGTGCTCAGTGTTGCTGCACAGCCCATCAAGAGCTCAACAGTTCTTTATTCAGAGCAGGGTAAGGAMGGAGCGGCGCACAGAGGGCACAGGGTGACACATTGTATGGGGAGGACAAGAATATTGAATAGCTGCTCATTCACTGCACAACATCCAGCTTGTGCCCTGAATGAAGTACCAGCCCTGTGGAAAAAAACACAATGTAAACCATACAAGACAGTCTTTAATTACATGGCAGGCAGGGGCACACATGCAGCACACGCAGAGAGGGGGACTGTGGTCAGTCTTCATGCTGATATTTCCCAGTGTGCTTTTAAAAGTGTATTCTTTCTCTGTACATTTCCCCACAAAAACTTCACATTTGCATACTCTATATTCATATTTGTACCAGCATCAATATTTCTCTTAAAGCCATTTTTACTTAAGCACTGATGGAGGGAGGATCCACACTGGCCATTRTTTTATAGGTTGTAGTTTAATATCAATATCTAGGGTGACAAGTGCACATATCTATATTGRTATATTGATGTCCACAGCTCCTTTTCAACATGGGAATAAGCTACAAGTACTTTTTACACAGGCAAGAGTTCAGCCTGAGAGAGAGAGAAAAAAAAAGCAAAGTACACAGGGACTGGCAAAGCAGTCTCAGGGACCAGCCCAAGTGCATTCTCTCAAAGCAAACCAGATTTATAAAGTCTTAAAAAAAAAAAAAAACAAAAAAACCCAAGAGGAAAACCCTCATTACTGTCACCAGAAAGAAAGCACACACGTAATGCAATTGTTTTATGACAAAGTTTAAAATCCTTTTCCCCATGAGCACACACTTTCACTTCTGGAGCCAGGATTGTTCTCAAACAAAAAAACAATCCCCGTGCACTGAAAAATCACCCTCCAATTCCCAGTAGTATCTCTGAGCTCACACTACGCTGCCAACATAATAGTGATWGCAATCTTGAAGTTGTGACTTGCACAGTTCACTAAACAAAACCCATTGAGATTACACCTGGGTGAGCATTTCACAAAAACAAAGCAAAAAATCCTCCCACTACYCTACTGCGAGTACAAAGCCAGATTRTTGCTTCYAAGACAGASTAGAAGCAAGATCTTTGCTCTACTGAAATTAAGAGCATTTCCAGGGCTTGGGAATTTACCTTATACAACTATGGTGATGAAAAAGCATTGAGGAATTATTCAAGAGACCTAAAATCAATTAACAAGATGTAAAGCTATCCACTGAGTAACTACACTGCACACCCCCCAGGCACTCTGATGAAATTACGAACTTCTCCTTCCAAAAAAAGGAACTACAACATGGGAACATCAGTTGTGCTGGAGAGCATGAACCCGAGTGACACTCAGAGTAACAGACTCGTGTGTTACACACACACTACAACATGAAATCACACAGCACAGGCACAGTAACTGTGCACTCCCTGTGCCCTGAACAGCCCAACCATAGGAAGGAATATTTTGCATTTCCACCACAGTCCTTGGAAGTGCAGGAGCTACTGCAGTGATGTTACAAATAACTGAGCTTTGGGGACAGGACAGACCTGAAGCAYCAGAGCAGTTTTCACTTAAAATCTGTTACTCTCAAAGGAAGAGCTGGCAGCCCTGGCGTCCTTCGCTGTCCAGTCAGTGACGCACTCGTGCAGGAACACATCAGCCTCAAAAGTTGGGAGCACAAGGGAGAAGCTGGAAGTATCTGCTGCAGCTTTTGGCATTGAGCTTCACCCCAAGCAAAGTGACATTCCCGGCTCTGCACTTTTTCCCTGTCCTGACTCCATTCCTTACAGGAAAACTCAGTTGTAGCTTTAAATCCCAGCTGGATGGCCCTGCATTCAACACCAGTCCTGCTCTGTTTGTGTGTGCAGTCCCAGCACAGACACACACAGCTGTGCCAATACCTGCTGATGTACTTGAAGTGTCACCAGCTGTACCCCAAACTTCATATTCCAGCTTAGAAACAGAAAATTCACAAAGCAACAGTGAGAGCGGGATGCAAGGGAGAAGCAGCAAGGGAAGGAAGCTAACTGGAAAACTGACAGTCCCCATGCAAGGAGCAGGGAAATGGGTCTCTTAGGCATCCCAAGATTTACAAGAGGGCCAAAAAGTGACTTCCTGCTATTCAAGTCCAGGCTGAAATATAATAAACGACTGCCAGCATAACACTGACTCATATCCATCAGATTTATAAATCAGTGCTTCGACAAAGAAAGCTCTCTCTGTTGGCTTCACCATAGACAACTCTGAACCACTCAGATGTGGTGTTTAACCCACTCAGYGTCCAATGTCATTGCAGCAAAACCCAGCTCTTTATTAAAAACGAGGCAACTGAAATTCTGCCTACAGAAGCCCATATCAGATAGCCTTTATGACTTAAAGGCTAGCAGATTAACATCAAAACTAGCCCTGCTGTTGGATTYTTTTCCTAATTATTTAATCTACAAAGAGAAGAAAGTTCTCACGGCTCCTCCTTCAGCACTTGTTCACTACAGAGCAAACTGAAAACACATTAAAACCAAACACCAGATGATAACACACCTACAGGTATTGTGTGCTCGAGAGGAATGCACGCCGGGTAGAGCTGTGATTCCTCACCAACAGTCACAGCACACAAGCTTCACTCTTCCCACAAGTGTTGCTCAATCCCCTTCCCATGAAAAGGAGGGACACCTTTATGAACAGACTTACACCAGTATAGCAGCAACCACATCAAAAGAAGCTCTGCTTCTGGAATAAAAAATKTTACCACCAAGATGCAGAAAACTATGTCCAATACTGTCTTCTAAAGCTCCTTAAAGTTCAGCTCTTCTATTACAGGTTACAAACACACACCAAAAAGATGAAGGCAAATTTTGCTCTTTATGTCCTGCGGAACCACGCATGCTCCAAGGGTGAGAGGCGCTAAAGTTATTTGTGAGTGTTTGAAAATATTCTCTATTATTCCAAGACGTTCAGGGTAACCTCTATTCCACCTGCATTGCACTAGGGGAAGGAGGAGTAGAACCATTTTCCGCCTCCTTCGACTTACCTGAAGRCCAACACACGACTTTCTACGCCTGTTTGGATTGGTGTCATGTACCACACAAGCTCAGACATCACACAATTGGATAAATGAAGTGCCTTTCCATAGGGCACCCGTCGGGAAGGCAGTGCCGGTGCTGTCACCGTGCAGGAGCATCCCTGCGCAGCCCAGGGCAGGGACGAGCTGGCATGCAGGGAACAAGGGCTGGCGCACGGGGCAGCGCTGGATGGAGCCGCGCAGCCCGGGAGGCTGCATCTCCCCGCGGTGTTCGGGGAGGCGGAGCGCACACAACGGCAAAGCGCTCCCGCACAGACAACTCGGGCTTTTTCCTTACGGGAGAGCCGCCCCCGCTCACTATCCGCTCCTGCTGCCGCGGTTCCGCTGTGTGGCTCTGTGTGAGCGGACAGCGTGGGGACAGCGTGGGGACAGCGTGGGGACAGCGCGGGGACAGCGCGGGGACAGGCGGCCGCGGCCCCGTTCTGGCACCGAGCATCACCTTCACGGGGGTGCGGAGGCTGCTCCTTCCCTCGGGCCGGCCACCGGCTCCTACCGCACACAGCGGCACCCACGGCCGCGCACGGACCCCGCTCCGGCCCCGCCACCCCCGGCCGGGC